GAAAATGATCTTTTTGATGAGGTATCATTGGTATATGTATACGTTACTGATGAAAAAAATTAAATGTTTGTTGTCTGCTGATGTGGAAATAGACAAAAAAAAGGCGGGGTTGTTCCTTCATTTTAAACAGAATAATATTCCTTATGAAAATATTCTGAAAATTGCAGAACATGCGCTCTCCTTTCCAGGAACAAATATAGCAACAGAACGTGTTTTTTCCAGTATCAATAAAATATGGACAATTGAAAAAACGCAGTTGAACATTAAATTTTTAAAATCTATATTAAACGTAAAATATAATTTGACCAACTTATGTGAGAAATTTCACATTTTAATAAATAATCCGAATCTATTGCAAAGTGGATACAAAATATGACCGTTAAAGAAAGTCATATTCTTTAATGAAATTTTAAATTAATTTAAAAACATAATATTCAAATTACTGTTTTTTACAAATACTTTTAAGTTACCAATAGTTAATAATAAATATATTTTTGTATATTTATGGACAAGTATATGAATGTATACAATAAAATATATCTTTTGAATTATTGGTCTGCTTTCATAACTAAATTACAAATTTCATTTCATTTGTCCCGCTTTGTCTCAATGAAAACGTAGTCACTTTACTCATGATAGACTATTTCTCTTATCAAATGGTATTTCGTCTCTTATTTATTATTTTATTTTAGCATGTTGAAATTCAATATTTTCCCACATTTACTTCATATCCTGAAGGCTGTTTTGCTGTCAGCCTATGTTAGTATATATACTGCAACACAAAATATCAACACAGTTTGTATTGCTGTACAGTATATAGCAGGAAGACCAAACATCAGGACAATGGAAGCCGCAGGATTGATTTTATGAACGTTCGAGAGCCGCAAGTCCAAATTTATACTGTTTTAAAAATAATGAGACAGGTTTTAATATTAAGAAATTTTTGAAGTAAATTAATGAATATGTGATTAGCATGATTACATATAAATATAAATAAATACGTATTATATCTACTGTTTTGTGTTTATCATGTTAAATCCCAAGAAAATAAAAATTTGTAGCTCTTGTACTAGGCAACTATGCATTTTTCTTCAGGTAGAGAAACCAAATATTTTCTTCTGATTTTCTTTATACCTGTTCTTTTATAATTATTGTTGTTTTATTTAAGTAGAAGTAAAATGAATCGGAAACATATTCATATTCATTCAAAAAATTTTGTTTGAGTAAATTTCAAATCATTATTTTAAAGAAAATTGAGTGTTTTTTAACTCATTTGCAGTCCTTTCACAAAGGATAAATTAAATTATACATGTCAGCGCGCACTGCAGAAAAACTGTTATTTGAGAAAGACTATTTATTTAAAAATAAGCTATTAACTTGTTTAGGCGTTTGCTTAAAATGTAAATTTATTTCTCCATACAACTAATATAAAAACCAACAAACTGAGATCATTCGAATCTTTAGATCCTAACCTAAAAAACAGTTAAACATTTTTTACTGAAGAATTCACCAAAAAAATATTATTGCCATTTCAGTGGTGTTTCAATAATTAATATCTCTTACGACGGCCCTGACTATTACAGCGTTTCAACGTGACATCAAACAGAATCTGCCAGAATTTTTTAGTAATCAGTACACTGCGCATCATTGAAAATTATCGAAACTATGTCTCGAATCGTACCGATAATTTTGGACATAGATAACGAAGTTCATACGTATCATTGAAAATTCTCGAAAGCACCTCTTGAATCGTCACGATGATTCTCTTACTGCTAATAAATCATAAATCTCGTAGTTCATGCCGGGCTATATAAACGTTAAGTTGAGCACATATTTCATCTGCCCAGCAGGCGAATTCTTCAACCTAGTTGTTTAATTTTGAGCTGTTTTCAAATACAGGAAAATCAAACACTAACGTTACAGAAAGAAAACATACTACCTTCATTACTACTGCTAACGAAATGCCTAACCTCGGTGGCGGGTTTAGGGTTGCCAGACAATGACAAGGAAAGGAAGAGTTTCAATATTTGGCGCAAAGTAGCTCATTTCGCTATATTTGGCGACAAAATGGGCGATATGCCAGAGACGGATGTAGAACATTCTTGAATGAATTATTACCAGTTTGGCTTAGAATGTTCTCGAAGGCAGGCCAAAAGCTATTTAAACAATATCTGTATGCGGAGTAGCAATATATCGCAGCGCATCGTCGAGTGAATCGTGAGTCTTACCTAGAGAGTATCTTGAGTATGTTGAGCTCTGAGAGCGATCGACCGAGTCGAAAGCTGTATTTATTGTTTGGCCGTGAAGCTGTCTTCACCGTTGTAGCCTGAAGGCTGTGTTGTTGCTGATTGTTTTAGCATGCTTATCATAGTTTTTCGACGACTGTAAGCTTGTTTTTGGAACTGTCCTGAGTAATATTGGCAAATAAATTGTGTTTTAATACTTCATTAGGTGTTGTCGTCAGTCACTCCAAATCCACGAACCCGTAAAACACATCACTATTATGAATTTATTTCGCAAATGCAAATATAACATGAATGCGTAACTCTTCATATTTCTACAAACATGCACAGATGTTCGATGTGGAGGCCTTTTGTAACAAGGCAGACGTCTGCACATTAGTTTATTTTAAGTTTAAAATAAATTATTGTCAACCTAACGGTTACATAGTATAACTTTCCATTGTGTTACCTAACCTGTGTATACAGAAAATAAATCTCAAATGGAGTTTGAAATGGAATCTGTAGGCAGAAGATACTTTAGAAAACAAAAGATCAGATTTTAAAAATAAACTTTTACAGGAGCAAAATTTCATACTATTGTTTGAAATTTATAGTGATCAAGCAGTGGATCATTGTTCAACTTTTCGTTTGGATACTAAGCTTTTATGAAGGATGTGCCAGACGCACATGATGACCGAAAATAAGAGCCAAGTTCATAAGAGCCGGGGCAACCGCTGAGGCTTACAGAGCGGAAGTACCTAAGGGGTGGAAAAGTTTAGATATGTGTCGAGCAGCAAAATGCCTCTAATTTAGTGCGAGGTAGAAAAGAAATTAGGTCATGAAGCAAGAAGTCGAAAAATTTGAGAAAATGTCACAAACTAAAACGATTTCACCAATATCAATATGCTGATTTTGGCAGAAACATTGGAGAAGAGAGACGTTTGTGTTATGTTGATCCCTTCATTGCTTGATGCAACGTTATGAAAATTTGATGATTAAGGTAAAAGAGCTCTATTTGGAATCACAATATTTGATAAAATGAGAATTAAACATTTTGACTAAAATTTAAATCGAATTTACATTTTCTCCCATGCGGCTGCACCGATCAGAAAAATGTAAAGTATATAATCTCGCAGAAAATTCTTCCGGTGGGTGTTGAAGACTATGTCTCCTTCCAATGTATCTTATCGACATGGCCAACAGCCGTCAAACATTTCATAGTGGTGGGGCTGTCTCAAAGCATGGAAACGTGCAGTGGAATATAGCTATGCAAGACTGGATTGTAACAGGAATCTAGCGCAGTATCATGGATAATTTACTACTTCGGCAAGTACCTGCTTGAATAATCTGTATTATCTGTATGAAGTAAACTCATGTTGTATCAGTCAAGTACATCCATCTGATATTCATCATATCGTTTTACTAATGCGTCATAGTCTGGCATGATATGTTCATCTATTTTGTTAAATTTTCCCATTAAATCTTATATTTTTCAACTTACAGCAAGTGTACTACTTTGTTAGGAAATCACATTTCATAGGTATAAAGCGACCCGAACATTAGGCGACAAACCTAAAATGTTAAGCAATGGAAATATTAATAGGAAACTGAATTTTAAGAAGGCAAATTGGAAGAATCACTGTACATATTACTAAGTACCTTCAGAATTTCAAACCAACAGTAGGTTATTCAAAGATAATAATTAAAGGTTCAAAAATAATAAAAGGAATTACAAAACAAAACTTAAAAATATAAAAATTAAAAGAATAGACTGAATTAGAATATTTTTTATTTTTTTTTTCCGCAGAGCACCCAGGAACCGCCACTGTTTTTATGTACTTATGGAAGCATAGTTCAATAGTTTAAAGAATACAGACATAGAACAAAAATGTTAAATAACAAATAATAAATAAAAGCAAACAACAAACAATAAATTTCCCCAAAACGGTGTCGATTATTCACAATACAACTAAACGACTACTTCTGACCGATTGACTGTTTTTGGATTAGTTGGTGCTTGAATAATGATTTCTTGTAGGAGAACTTTCTATGGACATAATTTTTTTTACCTCTAAGTAAAGAAGGATACAGAAATACGAGTACATTCTAACTGCGAACTTTTAGAAATTTCTATAACATTATTTTATTTTATTATTATTATTTTATCAAATTATTATTATTAACAATATTTTATCACAAACCCCTTAATTCCTACTATGGACCCCCAATTTACAATTTTTTTATTGTGAACCCCATTAAACCTTCTGTCGACTCTTTCTTGAATTGCTAGTTAAAGCACCGTGGAAGTTGGGAAGCGCTGAATTTTGTCTACTCCATTTTAATGCTCATTTTAATCACTTTGTAAAAAGTACTAGTACAAAAGCCACGTAAGGCCTGCCCGCTATCTTCGAAGAACAATTAAATTTTGCTTCTAAGAAGCAATTAAATAAAGATATTTGAATTATTAATTTAATTTATATAGGATAACGACTGTACTGATCACATAAAGTTCCAAAAGTATTGGAGCCGGGTTAAATTATATGCAATAAAGTATCATAATGACATTCATTCTAGAATGAATTTTTACGAAACATTTGATCTCTCTGGAACATTCAGATTCGAATTATGTATATTGTTTTTTCCAAATTTGTAGTTTTGTTTCTGTGCTCAAATATGCTTTCTTAAGAAGTCTTGAACATCGAAATATATTTGATTAACAGTTGCTTAACATTTAATGAATTAATTTTTTCACTCATGAAGAAATTTTCTCTTACATAGGCTTACTGGTGTTAACATCAGATTCCGAGATCCACCGCTTAAAATTACCTCATTCAGACCAAGATATGAGGTAATATATTTCTATATTATTATTTTTTACTCATTTTTCTTATCATGTTTTCTGACTGTTTTTTTTTCCTCATGTCTAAAAAAGAGTGTAAGAATAATAAATTTCCTCTTTTATTAATAAAGAGAAAGCTGTCTACGTTTATTAATTACTGAAGTTTGTATTTTATCTGCATAACTTGAATGCATGAATTCTTATGTTTTAAGTTCCATAAACGTGAATTAATGTTATTTAGTTGTTTTTCGATGTTTTTGCAGATTTTATGAAGAATATAAATGAAAATTTAGAAAATCATCTCTAAAATGCTATTCCTCAATGTGCAATTCCACGCAGATTGTAGTCATGAGCAATCTAATTTAAATACAATCAAACACTGCTAACTCGGCTTATAATGAATACTCGCTTTTAAGAAACGGACTTTTTGGTTGTGTCCAGTTTTTTATAGACATATTCCAAATGTATAAAAATCGGATATAACGAACATTGTCAACTTCTTGGAATGAAGAGTCTTCATACTTTTCAAACTTTTCTGCAGTATTTCTGAAACTTTTAACTGAAAATTTACTAGTCCTCACTTCAGCTTGTTTAGACTATTTGAATAAAGGAAAATAATAAACCATTGTTCTTTATCTTGACCTCTACGTTTCTCTGAGTTCTAATGAAAAAGCTATGAGAAGTAGGTCTACACTGGTGTGCAAAAATTAAGGACAAGACGGTTTCTTCAATATAACTTTGTACAAAAGCTTTCCAAATCAACACATTTAATACCGTAAGATCCCCAATACGTAAGGACATGAATAATGTAAGCAACACTTAATAAAAGAGAAATCAGAGGGATAAAAAGAAGCTTTATTGAAAAAGTAGCATGGAGCGCAATGCGACTGAAGGCCGAAACATCCCTGTGATGGGTGTCCAGCAAGAAACATCCGGTCTTTAATAGGGGATATGATCTCCCCTGACTGCTAGGCAGGTTTCACAGCGTCTGCTCATGCTGAGAATGAGGGTGTCAATGAGTTTTTGAGGTATTGCTGCCCATTCGTCTTGCAGCGCCAATCGAAGCTGCGGAATCGTTACTGGTGGTAAGGTACGAGCTGACAAGCGTCTGCCTATAAAATCCCATACATGCTCGATGGGATTGAGATCCGAAGATCGTGCCGGCCAATCCATACGTTCAATATCCTCACTCTCTAAGAGCTGTTCGGCAGCTACTGTGCGATGACATGGTGCATTGTCGTCCATGAAAAGGAACTGCGGACCCATAGCGCCTCTAAAAGACGCACATATGGAAGAAGAATCTCGTTACAATAACGGGTCCCGTTGACTGAACCTGCGTCGAAGATGTGAAGGTCTGTACGACTACCAAGCATAATGCCTCCCCAAACGAGAACACCGCCACCTCCATACCTGTCCCTTTCAAATCGCTACTCAGACTGAATCTGCTCTCATCTGTAAAGAATACTCGTCCCCATTCATTGTCTCTTCAACTTCGGTGTTCCCGGCACCACAGAGAACGCCTTCTCCGATGCGCAGGCGTTAGAGGTACACACCGTACAGGGCGTCGTGCAAACAGACCACCACCGCGCAGTCTTCTGGCCACGGTAAACGCGATATCGGTCGTCCAGTCGCCTGTGTCGTGCGTCTAGCGATTTCTCCCGCTGTCTGCCGCCTGTTTCTTCTGGCCTGTAAGGCAATATACCGGTCATCTGCGGGTGTGGTTTCTCGTGGACGACCACTACTAAACCCCCGGAGAGCTGTTCCTGTTGTTTGAAATGGTCTCCAAAGTCGTGAAACGATGCTGTGAGCAATTCCGAACTCTGCAGCCACACTTGTCACACTGCGGCCTTCCTCCAACTTCCCCAATGATTCGATCTCGGGTAAAAGCATCCAGATGTCGTCTAACAGATTGATTATTCACCATTTCTCGCTGAGGCAGCAACTCGGTGTGATTTTAACTGCTATACGGCGTGCAATCTCTTTGCCAGAAATACTGATCTTACACTGACAACATGCTTTATACTACTCAGACACTCCCCCATTACGTCTACCTGCATATCTGCGCATGTGCTACCGTACATCACCTTACTTAATCTCCTGATTGGTCTTTCTGTCCTCTCTGCCTCTTCGTTAAGCTGATATGCTAATTTTTCGACTTCGTCCTTAATTTTTGCACACCAGTGTAGTATTTAATTATTGGAACCACAGCACACTCAAATAAACATACCTTAGAAGATACTACTCTGCCAGGAATCTGTTGAGACAAAGAACTTGATTCTATTCGAGATCTCAGCTTCAAGACATTCATGTTTAAGGTTTACTAATAAAATGTTAATTTAATTTAATTATTTTCTTTCTGTCCCTTTTTGCCATGAGGTTAGCTCATTCCAGAATCTAATTGAGTGGCAAGCAGGTTTACTATAAAGTGTAGAATTTGACGAATAAGGAATATGAACGTTTTGGCCTGCTTTCGCTGTCCTGACGGTAAATCAAAACATTGTTCTTGTATGGATTACATTAGGCCGAAATTAGATCTTGCTTGGTAACTGTGTGTCCTAAATTCTGTCGTGGTCTACATAATCTTGTAGTTTCTGTATAGATAATATATAAATTGTTGAATTTATAACCTTCTTTGAAGTTTGTAATGAAACCAGGTTGTAAGGATTATATTTATTTAGCTAACAGTTAAATTTTGAGTTAAATTTCCTTTCCTATTGCTTCTTAATTTCAACTTACCAGTTCCGGCCAGAACGTAGTTTTAGATCACGTGTGAATGCAAATGAGGAAGAGCGATATTTAACCGCGAAATTCTACTATCTGAGTTACAGAGAACCAGAGATTCTGGCTAGCACGCGTCCGCCTTTTTAGGCTACTCTCTCAAGCTATTATTACGCTTGACCGTACTTTAGGCCCTTGATAACTTCGCAGTCAATTAGCATTAAGGGGCCAACTCTGTTAGAATCTTAATAGCTTCGGCTATATCTTTTTAGTTAAGATTAGTTAAGTTTTAATTCTTAGTTCCTATGTCCAAGCCCAAGTGTCGGCTTTATTGTAAAATTCCAAGGCGGAGTTCTGTTAAATCTTATTTGAATAATAAGGGTCCTTTAACCCTTTCCAAGTTTTAATTACTGTCTCACGAACTCAAGCGATTATTCGCTTACTAGTTCTTAAGATTCTTCACATTCAACTGTAACTTAAAGCACACAGTAGAGTCTTACATGGTCCTGGACGACTGTTAATTTTATATTGTACATTTAATTTCAATGTTGACAAGTGGTGAGATAGAATAAACTTAGAATGTTTGAATTGTACGTTTATTTGTTTAATTATTAGCTTATTCTGATGATGATAATTTACCAATTAGAACCAATGTAATACCTTGATTTTACGATTAATTGATATAAAATTAATTGGAAACCACTCCAGATGGTACAGATCGAGCCCTTAGAGAGCCCTTTCTGTTCAAGGTTGATGCTTATTCATAATTGTAAGTGCGTTTTTCAGATGGAAATGTGGAATTAGATGTACATATACCATGAATTTTATGCTAAGTACTTCCTGTAAAATTATTAACGCATGGTGAAACTGAAAAGCAACGACAAAGGAATTTAATAATTGTACCTAATAATAACTAAAATTAATTAAAATTAAAGTTATTATTAATATATTTTGTAAAATAGGGCCATGCAATAACTACGCTGTACATGTGATTCATTATCAGTTTTTAAATTATTTTGTAAGGTGATTCTTTTTTTTTTTTTTTTTTTTTTTTTTTTTTACATTTTTTTTCCATGTGCACTTAGTGAGTTTCAGTATGGATTAACCTTTGGAAGAGGTATGGAGGATACACTTTGTCAGGGGTTTTTGGATATGTCAGACGTTTCAGAGATGAACAACACGTAGCTTTGATTTCTTAAGACATGTGATTCTGTTAATATGTCTTCCCTGTTGCACAGTTTAATTGCTTTTAATTGAAAAATACCTAGAAATTGGTTTTATCTATTTAAAAGTTATTTTAGTAATAGAAAAATTGCCTTAGGAATAAGAGTACAGATTTAGTGTAATCAATACTTATAAGGGATGCTTTCAGGGCTCCTGCCCCTGCTCTCAAACATTATTGTGGATAAATTGCTGGAACAGAAGTTTTTTGAAAGGCTGGAATTAATTGCATAGGCTGATGATATCATGATTCTTATTAAATACGATTCCCTTGCAAAAAAATGGAAAAATTATTTGATGAAACTGATCTAATACTGAGTGATTCACAAAACAAAGATCAATTACAATTTAATATTGAAAAGACGTTAGCATTGTTTTTTCCCAAAGAAGGTAAAAAGACTAGACCACCACATGTGAAATGTGAAGGCAAGAGAATGAATACTACAATTTGTAGATTGTGAGGTTCCACTCTTTTATCTAACAACTCAATGTGGAGGAACCTAGTGAACACAAAGCGAATAATCACTTAAGTTCAGTAATAGAAACGTTAACTCGAGAAGGGTTAATTACCCTTTATCGCTCTAAATAAGAATGGCCCCTTTTTCAGTGCGTACGGCCACTTGTGCTCGAACTCAAAATTGTAATAAATGAGAACTTAACTAATGTTCAACTAAAGACATATAGCCGAAGCTATCCCAATTCTAAGTGATTGGCCTCCTAAGTATCGAATTTAGCTAGCGAAGCTATCAAGAGCCGAGTAACAACATAATAATAATCTGTAATACGGCCGAGTCAAGTAACAGCTTAGAGAGACGTAGCCAAAAGACTAACGCACGCTAGTCAGAAACTCTGAGGCTCTCTCCCGAAATCAGTAGAACTTCTACTTAAATACTACTCTTACTCATTTGCATTACACGCGATTTAAAAATATATTCTTGTAGAAAATAATTATAAGCTGAATTTAAGAGAGATAGGAAAGGAGCTTTAACTTAAAATAACTTTAAAATTTAGGATAAACTTTACATCTTTCCCCCGCCAGAATTTAGCTATTCGAAGAATAAGGTCTCTGAACGACCTTGTTTACGAGTGTAAATGCTACAAAACTTTTTAAATCATTCTCATCATTAATTCTTTTTCTGTTAGCGCCAACTTTGCAAAAGATCTAAAGCTAGACTAAAACTAAGAAAAATAATTTTTCCGAGTACAATCTCACTTGGCACAGTCATGTGCTTCAGCTTGACTTTCAGTACGCTATCCGCCTTGGTCCCTCCAAATTATCTGGAAGGAAATAGTGTTAGTTTTGTCTTTTACAAAAATTTTTATTTCCCTTACAAATACATTTTATTAGAATTCTTTAGCTCTTAAACAGCTTTCATTCCCACAAATTTTTAACTCTTCTTCCCCCCGCGTTCTCTAGAGATTTGTTCTGAATGAACTGGGCGTGTGTCTGTTATGTTACCGCGAATAAACGCTACCAACTAACATTTACCATGTGTTAGAACTTGGTGTGCAAGACCTCGAAAAACTTCCTAAATACAAAACTGCAGTTAATATGCTAAAGAGAGAGCTTGATTTAAATTTTCAAGTGTTGGCTGGAAAGCCTAACTTTTAACACATTCATTCTGTATTTACTTTCCAATCGTTCATTTATCCAAGGTTTTTGAACTCGCATTTTGACCAAAGCTTACATTTACACAAATTTTAACCTTAAAGTACTTTAAACATACGTACAGACATTTAAAATTTTTACTTTCAACACATTTTCCACATTTAACATATAATATTCTTTAATTCATTTGACATCATCAGTTATAGTTTCTATACACAATTTAGAATATTTTCCTAAAATCTTCATTCCTACAAATTTTTTAACTCCTCTTCTCCCCGCGTTCTCTAGAGATTTGTTCTGAATGAACTGGGCGTGTGTCTGTTATGTTACCGCGAATAAACGCTGCCAACTAACATTTACCATGTGTTAGAACTTGGCGTTCAAGACCTCGAAAAACTTCCTAAATACAAAACAGTTAATGTGCTAAAGAGAGAGCTTGATTTAAATTTTGAGTTCAGGTTAATAGTAAAGTTATATTCCAGAAAGTCGCCAAGTTGAGTAAGAAACTGCCAAATATCACCATAGCGAGAAAAATCGCGAGATCGGCGCCAAGCCGATCCGAAATGAAATCGCTTATATCTCGCGTTTTCCTTAAACTATCTTACTTCCAACGTTCTTGCGATCAGCACTTAAAGTTCTATAATTCAGTGTAACAAGTAAGCACTGAAATGCTCGATATATGGCTAAAAATGCGATTAAATAGGAAATAAACCCAAAAATTTACAACCTAAGAACAATAACGAAATAAAATAAATAAAGCAATACAAAACACAACAAAAATACAGAGAAACGAAAAATAGAATCAGAAACATTTCAAATAGTTACAATAATATGTTAATGAGTAGCGAAACTTATAAATGAAGATATAACTATTTGATTCCTATAGTTATACTTCAGTTTCTAACCTCTAAAAAATTAAAATAGCTAGTTCGTTTTTGCATATACCCCCAACTCAATGTGAAAAATCGTTCATTTCACCGATTGCTAACTTAACTAGGTTTCATGTTGTTCTCAAAGTTCACAAAACTAGAATTTCTTTTGCGCCCCACAGTTTCTAATTTAAGAGCAGCCTCATATTCTTTAGCCAAATATTTTATTGTTCGATTTCCCATTTATTTTCTCACAAATTTAACCCTGTAAAAATTATTTTGAAGTCGTTGTTAAGAATATTTTGCCATACATTACAATTACATTTCCTTCGAAGTTAAATTATTTTTTACCAATGTTTAGATTAAGTCATTAAATTGTCTTGAAATCAGATATGCAAAATTCCATTTGACCCATACTGAAAACTGACGAATTAATTTCTCATGCTTAAGTTTCCTTAAATCAGATCCTTTTCACATTCAAAGGTAATTATTATCACCAAATTGAATTAATAGCTATGGTAATCTTTTCAATTTAGCACTTCCTGACATTTTACATGCACTGTTTTGAGGTTAAATTACATTGAAGAGCTAAAGCATTACGACTACCTACTCAATAAGAAGTTGCGCGACTTTTGGCCCGCGAAACAGCTGCAATTTGTCTTAGGATGAATACTACAAGTCCTTGGTAGATGACTGGAAACAGGTTATACCAAATGTCTAAGCAGCAATCACGCAAAGTCGAGATAGTCCGACATGGTGGTGTTTGAGCTCTGAGCTGCCGCTCCATGACATCCCAGTTGGGCTCCATCGGGTTAGGATCCGAAAACTTAGATGCCAAGACATTAATTACATTTTCTCCTTATGCTTCTTGAATCACTCCAACACAATTAGTAGGGCTTGTGACGTAGGGCGTTGTCCTGCGAAAAATTCCATTTCAATCTGAGGAGACAGACGCCATGTAAAAGTGCAACTGATCCAAAGTTATGTTCAGATAGTCCGCAGCTTTCATGGTCTGTTCTACTACAACTAAGGGTCTCAGAACCACCCATGAGAACGTGTCCTAAAGCACAATAACTCCAACTTCAATCTGTGTATGACCCTCTGTACAGGGTAGAATAACTGTTCGCCTGGAAGACCGTGTACCCTAACATCACCTTTGGTGTGATGAATGAGAAATCGTGATTCATTCGACCCAGCAACTGTCTTCCACTTACCCACAATCCAGTCTCGATGTTCCCGGCCCCTGTAGGCGTAGTTGACAATGATTCTTGGTCAACAGAGGCACACGAGTGGGACGTCTGCTGCGCAGTCCCATAGTCAACACTGTCCGCTGAACTGTATGTTCCGAAACACTCGCACTTGTACCTGCACTGCATTGGGCTGTCAGCTGAGCCGCTGTCTGTTGCCGATTTTGCTGTTACAAGTGGGATAGTTTCTAACATCTTTTTTCTTTCATGACGCGCGGACGTCCAACACCTTGACGTCTACTGCTGATTTCACCGTCATTAATAAACTGTGCATAAATACTAACAACGGCAGATCGTGAAGAAGCTGGGGAATGAACCTACCACATTCGTGCAGTTTGGGAGATACTCATTCTGAGTCTTCAGGCAGTTACAATCAGCCCTTTATCAAATTAGCTTAGATCAGCAGCCCTTCCCATTGACTCGCAAAAGTATGTGCAATAATTATTCCTTAGCTTCTCCAGACAACAGTTAAACTCCACTCCCACTTAATCATGTGCCCTCTACATCATTCGAACGATTTTATTGAAAAATCACTTGATGGTCATAATGTTTTGGCTCGAGACTGTGTTCGCAACATTGTCTTTTCGGCTTTGAATTCAGTACGTCGATTACTCATTCGGGATTTTTGAGGATGAAGATTTATTGAAGTTTTTATCTGTAAGGAATTCAGTTGGTATAGCCATTTAGTCCCTTTTGAAATTTAATTTGGTCATTCCCTTCCTTTTCTCGTCAATCTAATCACCCGCAATGAGTCTGAAATTTGATTTGAGAGCTATTGTTTGCGTTTAACAGTTTTTTGTGTGTCTTCCTAAGCTCTAGCATGTCAACCAGAGGAATAAAAAAGTGCTTCTTTTAACTCTTATGTATACCACTCTCTCAAATTTATAAATCTCATGAAGTTAAGTTTTTAAATAAGGTTGCAATAATGGGGAATTTTTATCTTTGATAAAGTTTAAAAATATTTTCCTCTTGCCATCAAAACGACACTCCAAAAAGGCTTTTGCTCATTAAGAAAGGGGATTTTGTATATAATCTCCCTCAAAACTGATAGAGTTCTTATTAAACTGATTAATTCAAAATATACACCAAACTAAGGTCGCATTGCTTTTTATTTTAAATTTTACATTGTCACGTTTCTCTTTCAATTCAGAGCATGATTTTTCTTAGCTTACACAGAAGAAGAAGCGATTCGGGTAACTAGAGTTAAACATCATTTAAATTACTTCTTTTATTTTTTAAAAGCAATTTTCTATATATTTCTGTTCTAACTGTTATTCTTTATTTCAGCCAATTGAACTCTTCAGTTTCATTGGTGGTTACTTGGGCCTTTGGTTAGGTTTTTCTGTCATTGCTTTGATCGATTTTGCCATCTCCCTTCTCTTCATTCTCTGGGTAACCGTGAAGAGATGCTTTCGAAAGTGTGTATCCACAATCCACAATATTCATCCGAAGAGAAGAATTCAAGGACATGTACCCAGCCTGCGACGATGCGATGATGCTTAAAAAATATAACATCGTATTAGAAACCACGATTTTTATGCAATTTCTAGGACAATTGCTTTGTGCAATGGGCGAATTATACAGAATATTAATGGAAACATTTTGTGTTCGCTATTTTCTAATGTATTTTCGGAAGTGTATTCACACCTGTGTATTATTAGGTTACCTAAAATGTAATATTTCTCACAATGACTCTCTAAGAATTTCCATTTTCCAAGTATAATATGTTTTGTAATGTAACAGTCGCTTATGTCTTATCACCTGCAATTTATTTCTCATTGTCAAACTCGTAGCATTAATACCTCCAAATGAGATTTTTCGATTCGCCTTCGTTTCTTCTCTATTATGTAGCGTCAAAAACTTGATCAAATACAAATATTATTTCTTAACTTGCCAGTGCGCAAAACCGTTGTATATGATCTTGGAAAAAACAGTAGGTTTTATTTATATATTAGATCTATTATGCAAAACGACTAATTTCTAAGTACAGCAAAAATAATGATTTCGGGGAGCATTACAGTTATATACTTAATTTCCTCGAGTGACAATTCGATCCAACTGAAAACAGACTGCGATTTCGGATTCAAATCGTGATTCTCATTCCTTTAGGAATAAAAAAAACCTTCACAATCAGACATAGAGTAGAAGTTTCAACATTTGGCAAAAGTGCTGGAAAAACCATTAGAAATTTCGTTCAATCTTCTTCACTCGAAGAAGGATAGGGGAAGAAAAGTACACATTTCGACACTAGAATGGCAGATATATTGAAACATGAAATAAAAAAAAAACCTATTTAAATAATCTGAATATCTCTCTTTTAATAGTAAGTGTTTTTATTAATGGATACAACTAATAATCAGAAATTTTAGTTTTCTCATTTATTAGGAGTGTGTATAGAGATCTCATTTGAATTCTTTAATTTTTCCTCAATTTCATTTCTGTAAACTTTTAATGCGAATTTTGATTTGTATTCTGATTTCATAAAATTACAGATTTTCATCATCTGGTTCTTTATTATTAATACAATAGTGAGTTTAAATTCATAATAGAATTATTTAAATTATATACTAACTTTGGCTGGCTTCTTTTATCTGCTCCACACCTAACGTAAGCTCTGATACTCCCAGAAGATATTTTTCACTCCATTTCTTAAATATATTTCGTATTATTCTAATAATTTTTAAAATAGATATGCATATAATTGTATACTTCACACATATGTATACATAATGTATACATAATACAGCTTTATGTCCTGCTCTTTGTCATAACTATGTGTATTTAAAGTGTGAGCTTTTAAATATGTATTTCATGTATTATCATTTCGTTTTGATGCCATACAGCCAAACGTCTACTACTTTGCAGATAAAGAATGTATTTCTTATTAACCATTATGTGTAAATTTCCCACTTTCTGTTATATATATATATGTGTGTGTGTGTGTGTATGTATATGATTATTAAAGAATCTGATGATTATTGATTATTAAATTAAATATATTTCATTAATTCAAGTACAGCCTACTATGTAAATAATGATTTTCAGATCTTTTTATACTAGGACACAATTTCAAAAACTCGTTTCCGGACTTAGATAAATTCCATACAGTGGATGATCGATTAACGAATATTTCGGACAGCGAACAAATCGGACAAAGAACACTTCGAGGAAAGATTTTTGTGTTCGGACAATGAACAATATTCGGATAGCGAACAAAAACTAATTCTAACGAAAACCTCTCGACTCTCGGGACACCCGACATCAGTCCTCAATTCGTCCTGAAAATGGATGTGCGCGTGCCATGGACCTTATTAAGAAATAGACTAACCCAAATGGGTTTTCTCCCTCGTCTGAGGCGTTCCTGGCTGTCACCTTTATCACATCCGGAGGAGTAGAGACGACTTGCAGAAATTTAACAGTGGTTGCCTATTGCAGCGTGTATAATTGTCAAGAAAAAGTTGGTTGTAGCGCCTCATTTCACAAATTAGAATTTCTTAGATATTTTATTTTTGAAACTGAGATTGATTTTTAAAAATTTAGCATATTTATCAAGCATAATTAACGTTCCAAATAATTATAAAGCTATTGCATGCTTTCAGGCCTGGCTATTTTTTTAGCTTTTCCTATGCTGTAAGGAAATTTGTAACTACTTCTTTTAGAAAATAATATTTTAAATCTGAACTAATAGAAAATTTCAAACAAAGAATTTTCTCTTGTAATTTTTATGCTTTTTATTGGTGTAAATAAGTAAAAAAATACTAAAATACCTAAAAATGAATTTTTGAAAGTTTTTGCTTAAAATTCTAAATTGTGCTGCTTTTTTAAAATTATAGATGAGTATTATAGCACAATTTCTATAAAGGAATTTTATTTCAATTATATTTCATAATACAATCATAGTGATAAACACTTTTGAACTCCTTAAATAATTTTTATACATTTAATTCTAATATTAAAATTGTATTTAACCATAATAATTAATTTTGCTTGTATTTTATATAATGATTATTTTTTAATTTATTTTTAGTTCTGCATAAGATTTTTTTTTTTTTTTTTTTATTTACTGTTAATTTAATTTATTAGCCCAAAGCGGCGGTAGCCTAGAAAGGCTGTTAGTTTCGAAGCGGTATTTTGCTCTGTTTTACTATAAATGTCCGTGTTTCCTTGCAAATTGTTGTTACCAAATATTATCGCCCTGTATTATATTTAAAGAAATTAAATAATGAAGAATCTGCATGAATACATGTATGTTTCTCGCACTGTGACAAAAACGACGGTATCTAGAGTCATCAGATTTTGAATAATGTAATCCTCGATCCGAACAAGGGCATCTGGACGGCCGAATTTCGAATTTGTTTTAATCTATTTCATATTTTTGTAAAACTTTAACGAAGTTTTGATTAACAAACTCAACAAGTTCAGAGCGAGCACTGTACTGAAAATAACAGTTTTATCTCCAGTGCGGAAATTCTAATGATATGCTGTTTTCAAATGTATGTGGTTTACGGGCGAAGAACGTGATATTCAATAAATATAGGTAACGCAAACAAAACGTTAAAAAAGATTCCTTTTGGGCGTAATATAAAATCTGAGTGTTTCTATATTTTATTTTACCTTTTTTTTTTTTTTTTTTTTTTTTTCTTTCATTACACTTCAGAAAATTTTATGCTTTGAATTTTAAAAATTACTAAAATAAATATTCCACTTTAATGTTAATAAGTTAATGATGATATAATCAAATAAATGATTGTTTTGTAATGTTATTATAGTTTTGAAAATCACTGCCTGAAAATGGTCATTAAATTTTTTAAAAAAATTATCAGATCTTGTTTAATTTTACCTTATTTATTTCAAAGCATCACGTACTATCAATCTTATTTAATTTTACGTTATTTGTACGCAAAATTAAGTTCATAAATTTTGTGCTTAGAGTTTTTACCGTTTTACCAAAGTAAAGATGTTTGTACAAGAATTACGCGTGAAAAAAATGCGCGAAATGCAGTAAAAAGTGCTTTAATGAGATATATTAAATCCTATTTGGAAAAAACTGTGGCTTTCATAATCTCATCACTATACAACGTATCACATTTAATAATTAAAAAGAGTTATGTGATACAAACGCCATAGGTTTCAGTGTTAAAGTAAACCACATCGTCCCTATTCTTTCTTGCCGACATGTCGGTGACGCGCGCCCCGACTACTGGGTTAGTCTATCTCTTCGATCGTTGCATTCATCTCGTCTAGCCTAGTCTGAGCGAAGCAATGGCGCAGGGTGCAAGTGAAATTCGCTCACGAATAATTCGTCTTAATAAAATTCTCTACTTCGAATTAATTTTCGATTTATACGCTTCTTAAATCTCCTAATCTGTAGCATATTTTAAAGATACGTTTTATAATTTTCGAACTTTATAATTCATAAAATTAATATCTGAAATTATGCTTTGATTTTAAGTAATTACTACTACAATAGATCTGGATAACTTTGGATACTGACTTGGAAAGATACTTAAAAATTCTTACTAAAGTTTTTTCTAATAATTCATAGCTTTAATTTTATTTTCCTTGGATATATCTAAATACCTTTTCTAATAATAAATTATTGATTTATTACTTAGCAGCTTTAGCGCAAATTTTAGGCATTTTAAATTATTCATTATTATTTTTACTTAAAATTTTTAAAAATTATACTATTAATACAATAGTATTAAACAGGAATGAAAACTATTGTGAAAAAACTTATCAGAAGGAAAATTTATTTTTTGACAGGAGAAAATTTTTAAAATGCTGATCAGCAATTAAATTCATCTCTTATAAAAATTAGCTAAATTAAATATATGTAGAAGATTTTTTAGAGTAAAAAGTGAAGACAACACAATTAAAATAATGAAAAAAAATTTATTTATATGCAAACAATTTCATATTAAATACACATAATTTTTATATCATGACAAAAGAAATTACCAACATGACTTATTCCTTTTCATATAAGACTTGAAAAAATCATGAAAAATTGTATTTTTAGATTTTAAATTAAACAAATTTTACAGTTAATGATTTTATTTTTTAAATTAAACTATAACAAAAATGATTTGACGAAACATTCCTTTTCATTTTATTTTAACTAATATTAGATTACAGCTTATGGAATATATCATATTTCCACTCTCGAAATAAAGAATCTTTTTCAAAAATTAATATTTTGTCATATATGTATATACAATTATAAATGTATCATTTAATTTTTTTAGAAGTACATTTAGTGTAAAATATTCTTGAAACTATTAAAAATAATTAAATTTCCTTTATTCTTAAAATGATTACACATTAAAAGATCGTTAACTAAAATAACATTTTTAACATTAAATGAATAAAAATTAATTGTTTTCCAGAAATATTTCTAAATTAGATTGCTTATTATGTATCAAAAGTTTGCTATACATAAAAAACTAAAATAGTTAAAAGACAAATAGGCTTGGGAGGGGAAAGCTGAAAAATTACACACAGTACTGAAAATTAACATTTTTATGACATATTTTTAGCTCATAAATGTTATCACAGATTTCCTTGATCATAGCAAGAGAATTACATGTTTTTAAAAACGAAAATTACACAATAAGCTTTGCTAATTTGAAAATAATAATACTTAATAGTCTTAAACAATAAGCTTTTCAGTATTTTAAACAAATTAATTTCATTTAAAATAAATAAAATTACAATGATAAAAAATATGAATTAAAATATTCACATTCATGATATGTAACCATAACTAAATCATACAGCAACAACCGAATACTTCCGAAGTAAAAATTGATTGTATATTTTATTATTGCATATAATGACATAAAAAATTCAGCATAAGACTGTTGATTATATTTTCAAATAATTTACTCCACTATGATTCAACCAACCAGGAAACTTGACCACTGATGTGTTTTCACTTCATAGATCACAAATAAAAGCATCTACAAACTGTTAAAGAGATTTGGGTAATTTACGACAAAATATCAGAATCTCTATATTATCCATAAACAGGTTGATTTTCTGATAATTTACAGAATAAGGAAAATAAAAGAAACCTACATTATAATATAATCTTAATAATATACTGATTTTTAGTAAAACAGTGCAACTTGCAGAAATTAAATTGCTCTAATGAACTTTTCAAAGTACAAAAAAATACATACAAATACATACAAAATAAAAATAATTTTTGTTTTCTTAATAAAACTGAATTAAATCACAAAATTTCTGGAATAATAATAAAATATTTTTAGCATTTTTTACTTAATTTTAAATACTGTTTACTATCTTTCATTCATAATGCTTTGAAATTGTTTTGGTAAACATACTTCAGAAAACACAAGTGCCCTTCTAGAGATACCCTTACAGCAATAATAAAATCAATAAATTGCAACATTATCAAATATTACATAAATACAAAATCAACTAGAATAAATGATAATTCATTAAAGGTTTAACTTTCTCAATCAAACATTTCTATCAATATAAAAATTCATTCATATGTCATGACAGATACAATTTTATGATATATTTACATATTACAAAGACAATATTTGAAATATATGTTTTAATTTTTTCTTAAAAATTCATATGATTAAACTTTTTCAATTAGCTACAGAGTTCTATAAACTATAAAAATAAAAATTTAGTGAATGACATGTTATGATAGGTAGCAAAATATGTAAATTGCAGAAGACTCTTAAATGAATCTCTCAATTTCATGCATTTTGTTTTCTGTTCTCCTCCTAAACTAATTAAGATTTTATCTTCATTTAACAAACTATAAAGTTCCAATTTTTAAATACCTTGCCTTCTAAACATGAGTATAAATAAATGTCAAAATTTAGTATAGAAATTTAATAATTAGATGTAAATACTGGTTTAGTTGATTAAGGTAAAACACACCAGGGCTAT